CTCCTGACACACACACTGAGAAAGCAGAGGGACCTCACTACAAAGGTCATTTTTCCAAAGGTTAAACTGATTGTTATTTGCACCAGGGTCCATGTTATAATGCAGGGCGTGGTACAGCCAAAGGAGGAAATTCTCATTCTCACGTTTTGGTGTTCAGGCAGCACCGTGGATGTGCCTGGAGCCAGGACAGGTGTGAGACAGCACCTTCCTCTCTTTTAACTGACACTAGACACTAAGTCAGGCTACAGAAGGAAGAGAGGAGAAAACTACACATTTCCAAAAGCTCAACAGAAAAAAAAATCTCAGAATTCAGATATTATTATTATTCCACTGGTCTGTCCTGTGTCTCACAAGAAGTAACAAGTGACTGTACAAAACATTTCAAATCCACAGAAGTAATTCAGAAATCCTGTCTTGTCTCAGAATTTCCAAATCTTAAAAGCCATTCCTGAGGAAATAACATATTCCAAGTGAAGCTGAAACATGCCTACGATAGGTCTGAGGGACCTCGTGGCAAGCCAGGGCAGAACACAAAATTCATGCACGCTGGTCTGGTCCAATTTCATCTGGAAATTTAAAATTAAAAAAAAAACAAGTGCCAGAGCCTCCTTCCCTGAAAGTCACTTTAGGATTACTGTGAAAGGGAAATTGAAGAGCCAGTGCTCTGAGATTGAAAGTAAAACATCTGGGGCCACCACCACCAGCACTGACTCCTCCTCCAGCAATATGGAAAAGTATTGCTTGTCCACAAAACTATTTCACACATCTCCTTCAAGCATCACCATTCTGGTTCAAAAAAGGGTGAATTTAAATTTGTGTTTTCTCCTACACAAAAATCCATGATTTTTCTACAAGAACAGTCCTACGTGGGCTGATCTAATGGCTCAGGACAACTGGAACATACCTTCACCAGAACTGTTCCCACCCTGCTGGAAGGACACAGTGGCCTTTTCACTCCCAGGACTGTTCCCACCACGACTCATTACAGTACGGTTTTTACCCAGAGTTCTGTTCCCATAATTTGGCCCGAATGCCTTACCTGGAGCCCATTACCCTATCAATTAATGCCCACACACCATCATTAGGATCCCTGAGCTCACCAGGGCTTCAGCCTGGCCCAGCCCCACCAAGGGGGAAGCAGCAGCTGGGGCAGCCAAAGGGTTAAAATCCCATGTCAAACAGCAAGTCCTGGCTCTGGACCAGAAGGGACATGGGAACCAGGGCAGCTGAGTTATAAAGGCCTTATTGTAGCAGCCCACTGGATTGGAAATGACTTGTAGGCCTAATGAAACAAAACTTTGGCAGTAAAACAGAATGAAAGGAATGAGACAATAAAAGAGAGGAACAAAGGGAGCAGAGTTGTTTCAGCTTAGGAAAATAAGCTCACTTTGTTGTTGGGAAAAGCCAAAGCCGATTAGGATAAACCAATGACTAGGCATAAGTCTTCCAAACTAATTACACAGTTGGCCATGTGAAGTGTAATTGCACAAGCGAGGGCTGGCTGCTCCCGCAGGAGCTCTGGGCACACCTGAGCCCTGCCTGCCCCGGGCAGTGCTGCAGCTCCAGTGCAGGACATGCAGGTCCCGAGAACCCGCGAGCACCCACAGCTGCCCTCTGCTCTCACGGGACTCCAGGTGAGGCTTGAGGAGCCTGCTGCGTTTTTGTCCTTTTTAAAATGATGCCTGATGCCTTAAATGCTCCAGCACGTCCCAGTCCCAGAGCTGCACGCTTCCTCCTCCTCCAGCCAGACGAGGCAGATCTGCAGCCCCAGCACTGCCCAGGGCAGTGCCACGGCCCCTGCAGAGGGGAGCAATGCCAGCCCCACTGAGCTCCCCTGGGCCTCCTCAGCCCCAGCACTTCTCATTTCAATTCTCTCAAAGCCTGCTCTCAGCAGCTTTTCACACCCAGCACGAGGGCAGTGCTGCAGAGCCCAGACGGGTCAGGACAGTGAATTTATTTTGCTTGTAAGAATGTTTGAAACAACTTTGACTGAAATAGGAGAGGATCCAGCAAACAAATGCATTAGACTGTCAGGATCAGGAGTAACATAATGGCTTTTTTTTCTACTGATTGTAGATGCTTAGGGCTTAGTTTGGTATTTAGTTTAGCCTTCTTGTGTCTTCCATGGATTGCTCCTGAAATGACTGGAAGGAGAATCCTTCCTCTCCCCAGACCCTGCCAAGCCTCTCTGGGGAGCCCTGCAACACCTGCAGGTGCCAGGACCAGTCCCAGCAGCTCTAAGCACTCACAAGGCTCATTACACAGTTCTGTGCTCGTTCTGTGATGGCTTTTGCCTCCACTTGGGTTATTTTCCCCACTTTTCCTCCACAGCTTACAGAAGCTAAGCATGCCCACCTCCCCAAAAGGAAATCAGGGACTCCTGGGATTGTTCAGAAAGAGAAAGTAATCACCATGAAAAATCTTACAAGCTAAATTTCAGGAATTATCATTGCCACATACTTTGGTGCTGTATCATCAAACACTTTCACTGATGGTTTTAATAAAGCTTTTCCTTTTCTTGGAGACAAAGGTTCTGGCACTGACTTTTCAAAAAGCTGCAGTTTCAAATTCGACACTGTACCCCCTTCCTGCCAACTCCAGTTACAGGAGCGAGCCCCTCTGGCCCCAGAGCTGGTGGCTGCTGTGCCACATCCTGTGTTCTGAGAGCTGCCTCCAGCCAGCACCACCACCTCCCCTGGCTGCAGAGCTCCTCTCACAGCAAGTACAAACAGGATTTCAGGAATGGCAGCGCTCCGTAAGCAATTTTTTCCGCGCCAATAAATAAGCTCAGCATTTCAAAGAGCAAATCACCTGAGATGCTCTTATCAAACACGGGCGGCTCCTCACACATTAATTGTGTAATGCAATTTGCTTTATTTTAAGGAAGCTCGGAGCGAAGGCAGGGCTGGCCAATCGATGTGCATCACTGTTTGCATGGTTATGGCCTGATGGAGAGCCAGGCTGTGTGCTGACCACAGGCTCTGCTCAGAGGGCAGGAAGGGAGTCCTGGAGGGGCAGGGAAGGGGGATTGAGTCCTGCAAGGTCCTGCAGCACCAGTCCTGGGTCCTGTATCTGAAGGCAGCATCCCACTGTCCACAGCATGTTAACAAGTCTTCTAACTCAGCTGAACCACAGCTCCCCGTTTCTATGGGTCATTAACCACCTCCTGACAACCAGAGCCTGAGGAGAATCACCTCGGAACACCCCAAAACCAAACTGTCCCAGCTGATACAGAGCAGTGCTGTGGGGAGAACCCCAGCGCCTGCACCAGGGTCAGGCCACGGTCACACAGCCAAGCAGCCTCTGCCCCAAACACCAGCAGCTCCAGCAAACTCTTCACAAGCTGGAGCAGGGGCTGTGGCACAGGGCACCTGGAGTGACAGGGACCAAGCCCTGCCAGCCTGACTCCTGCAGGAGCTCAGCCTCAGCAGGACAACCCCAGCTGTGCTGACATGGCCATGGGCTCCTACCTTGATCCCAACTCAAGCAATTTTCAGCTCCTTAAATTTTTTAGCCTGCAAAATTGAGATGCTTGAAGGAAAAAACCACTTGATTTTTCCAAAGTACTGCCTTTGGGAAGGCAGACCTCTGCTAGGCTGTCTCAAGAATGGCAGAGCATGAAAGCAGAACCAAAGTGTCCCGAATCCCCAGTCACTCCGAGACACAGCCTGGCTGCTGCATTCTCAGGGACTGTAAAATTGCAAGCATGAAACTACCAGATGGTGAAATTAAAAAGACTATATTAAGACAACATCCAGACAATATGCAAAGCGCTTATATTGAAACTATTATTAACTTGAAAAATACAGGTTAGTGGAGTTCTGCAATTAGAAGTAACTACAGAAGAAACATCCAAAAGCTCATGTAATCCTTTAATAAAAGGCTCAGCAGGCTGTAAACATCCTGCCGGAATCGAAGATTATTATTGAAAATAAAATGACTGGTTTGCAAAACAACTATCAATCCAACACAGGAACCATTTATAAACTCGCCTCCTCAGCCCTCAACAAAATCCTGCCTGGCTCAGGCTTTTCAAGGCAGATAAAAGAAACATAAACTAACTACAAGGAATGGGAGCTGCTTTGCTCCGGGATACCCTGCTGTGTCCTCACGCAATCTTGCATCTAAAACATCAATTCCTGCACTGCTAAAGACAGGAATTGAGCTGTCAGGCTGGAATCCATGGAGCTGGAGCCCACGGAGCCCCGTGGCCAGTGGGGCTGGCAGAAGGTGGTGCCACGAGCTGCTCTCAGAGCAGGCAGCTCCACGAGCTCGTCACCCACTCCTGAACAATTGTCCAGAAGCTTCCAAGGAGCCCCATGGAAGTCAGTGTCACTAAGCACCAGCCAAAGCCTGGACAGTGGGGTTTGAGCTTTTAATCACAGCAAAGACTATTCTGGCAAGGTTCAGATCTCCTTCTCTGCATAAACTTGTTTGTTTTGGGGTTTTGGTGAGGGGTCCTTTTGCTGTGGTTTTTTTTTGTTGTTGCTGTTGCTGTTTTTTATTTTTCAATGATGCCAGCATTCTATACATACTTGCAGAAGGATTTTCTAGTAAGAAATTAAGTGGATATTCTAGTGACTTCCACATTACTCTTGCTTTTCACATGGCTCCTTCAGGCATTTTCAGAAATTAATGAGCTTTCCAATATGTCTATTTGCCCTTTTTGCCACTGCAATCGGGCCTAGCAGAAGGCTGATTTTATGGAGAAGACAACTGTGTAATCATTCAGCTAAGGGTCAGATTTTTCCTGAACAGACACAGATTCACCTCCCAGTGATGCTTTTTTCTTCAGTGGAAGTAAACAGTGTTGGCAATGTTGTACACACACAAGCAACAAACAGAAAAGGAATCCCAGAGGCTTCAAGAAATGACACGGAAAGGCAAAAACCTGGCCCTCCTTTGAGCTCAGTCCTCAATGCACTTTTGTTTTTCAAAACACACTTCAAAAAGAAAGGGAAGAAAGAACAACTATGTAGTCTCACTTGGGCAGAACTTACCTTGCCAAACTGTTCAAAGTATTGCTTCACATCTTCCACTACTGTATTAGCCGATAATCCACCTACAAATATTTTCTTTGTTCTTGTGACCATCTGTAAGAAATTACAAGACAAGCATATGGTTTAACCAGATTATTTCAAACAATACGTGGAAAAAAAAAAAATTCTTCAGATCCCATCCCTAACCCAGATAATGAGAATACTTCTTTACAAAAGCAATTTCAATTCGATTTGATTAGATAGTTCTTTCTCTGTCTTGTTTTGTTTTTATTTGAGAGATGGCTGAGTAAAGGCTCTCAATAACAACTCTAGCCCCCGGATATTTTTTTTTAATAAATGATTTTTATTGTGCTTCTCAATGCAAATAAAAGTGAAAAAGGAGTCCAAACATTGTCTCTTCATAGCTACCACCTTAAAGCAGAGGTGCCTTTGCCCCTCCTTTTCCTACAGACAGGCTGAAGGCTCCTTGGCAGAAGAGGCAATTACATCAAATCCAAGTGATGTGTTATTAAGTTTCCACGGGTCAGTTTAAAAGGAACTCGCACAGTTACTTTTAAAGTAATCAAATGATGAAAAGCTGCTGACGCAGCATCCTCCAGCCAGCACAGCCTGTGCCCACGGAATCACCATCCCAGGGCTGGATCAGCCCCTCCAGGAACCTCTCTGTGCCCCCCAGCCCCCAGCTGAGCCCCAGCCCCTTCTCTGCCCCAGCTGAGCCTGAGCTTGGCCCAACAGGGCCAAGGGCTGCTGCTGGATCCTGTACAAGGGCTGCTGCTGGATCCTGTACAAGGGATACTGGATCCTGTACAAGGGATGCTGCTGGATCCTGTACAAGGGATGCTGGATCCTGTACAAGGGATGCTGGATCCTGTACAAGGGATGCTGCTGGATCCTGTACAAGGGATGCTGGATCCTGTACAAGGGATGCTGCTGGATCCTGTACAAGGGATACTGGATCCCCTGCAAGGGATGCTGCTGGATCCTGTACAAGGGATGCTGGATCCTGTACAAGGCATGCTGCTGGATCCTGTACAAGGGATGCTGCTGGATCC